TGCTGACCCGTCGTTGTTCCTGCGCACCGACACTTCTCTGCCGCCGTTCCACATCCTCGTGTACGTCGACGACTTGGTCTTTGCCACAGCTGACACTGCTGGACTCGCCTACGTGAAGTCAGAGCTGCAGAAGAGACACACGTGCACAGACCTGGGTGAACTGCGCAGCTACCTTGGCTTGCAGATCACTCGGGACAGAGCACGCCGCACCATTACCTTGACTCAGTCACACATGGTGGAGCAGGTCCTTCAACGCTTCGGCTTCACGTACTCCTCGCCTCAGGCCACTCCTCTGTCTACTCGCCACTCGCTCTCAGCTCTGCCTTTGGATGAGTCCGTAGAGTCGAGTGGCCCGTACCCTGAGCTTGTTGGCTGCCCCATGTACCTGATGACCTGCACACGACCTGACCTTGCATACCCTCTTAGCATTCTTGCACGCTATGTTGCTCCTGGGAGACACAGACCAGAGCACATGGCTGCAGCGAAGATGGTGTTGCGCTACTTGTGCAGTACGTCGGGCATGGGACTAGTGCTTGGAGGGCGGAGTCCAGTGGTCCTCACTGGGCACGCGGACGCTTCTTGGGCTGACGACCAGGCTACGCAGCGGTCGTCGCAGGGTTACACCTTCAGTCTTGGTTTCGGCTCTGTCTCGTGGCGGGCTACTCGCTCGTCTTCTGTTCTCGGCTCCAGTTGTGAGGCTGAGATCTATGCCGGGGCCATGGCTGCACAGGAGCTTCGCTGGCTCACCTACCTGCTGACTGACCTTGGAGAGCCGCCTCGTTCTCCTCCAGTGCTGTACGTAGACAACAAGGCCATGCTGGCCTTGTGTCGAGAGCAGCGCTTGGAGCACAGAACGAAGCACATTGCTCTCCGTTACTTTCTTGCTCGTGAGCTGCAGCAGCGTGGTCAGTTGCGACTTGCGTACGTGGCTTTGAGGCCAACACTGCTGATGTTTTCACCAAGGCACTTCCGCCTTGTGATCATCAGCGCTTCTGCACTCAGCTGGGACTTGTCCAAGTCTTGCCTCACTTGCTCACCTCTTGACCTTGCTTGTACTCTTGCATATATATATACCTGCTCTTGCTTGTTTAGCGTCATATATATATGTCTCCTCCTGCATGTGAACTGGCCTTGTGGCCTTGACCTTGTGCTCGGACTGTGTGGTGACTTTGTGATCCGCCCTAAGTTTGCTTTGCTTTGCTTTGCTTGACTGGTCTTGTGACCCCTTGTTCTCCCCCACTTTGCCTATGGGGGGGTGTCAGATATATATGACATAGCTATTGTAGGCTATAGTGGGGTAGCACATATGGGGTACAGCTTTCTAGGGTTTGCATCTGTACCCAACTTTCACTTACTGATCTCATTCTCGTTTTATTTTCAACGGTCCACGTCAACGCCATCACAATGACGGGTATGCAGCGAACATCGCCTTGATAGAAGAAGCAGAGTAGCCGAATTATTTTGAGAAACTTTTGGCAGCCGTATCGCCCGAACTACAGAAATTACTGAAACGTTACCCAGTGATTTTTCCAGACCACTTGCCGGAGGGACTACCACCTCAACAAGCACATGACCACCACATAGAATTAGAGTCAGGAGCACAGCCAACAATACAGCGACAGTTTAGACTGACAAAGCCCGAGCTCGACGAACTTAGGAGGCAGTTAGATTACGTGTTGGAGAAAATATTCATTCGACCAAGCTCGTCACCGTTCGCCGCACCGATTCTGTTCACACCGAAAAATGACAAAGGGTTCCGTATGCGTATCGACTACAGAGCACTGAATAGGGTAACTGTCAAATCGCGATATCCCATCCCGCGCGCCGACGAACTGATAGACCAACTGCGAACAGCACTTGTTTTTTCGAAGATCGACTTATGGGGAGGTTACCATCTGATTAAAGTCGAACCATCGGGCTGCGCCAAGACAGTTTTTAGAATTAGATACGGATCCTTCGAGTACATGGTGATGTCAGAATGTTATTCTCTAGCCTGTAGTGGGGTGCTCTATAGCGAGTACAACCCATCTAGGGTTTGCTATATGTATCCTCATTGCTGCTAGTGAAACCCCCTCTTCTCTCATTTCCATTTTCTCGTTCTAGTTTTCACATGGTATCAGAGCGACTACGCTCCTGGCCTGTGGTCCCACCTCACTGCTTCCGCTGCTACTCTGTGTTAGGCACGCCCCATGGCGTGCCCCTCGCTATACTCCTCGCGGCCCCGTCGCCGCCCTTCTCGGCCCCGTCGCGTCGAGCTTGCGGCCCCGTCGCGTTGCCCTCGCGGCCCCGTCACGTCGCGCCGCCCTCGCGGCCCCGATCCGCCGCCCTCGCGGCTCCGTCGCGTCGCGCCGCCCTCGCGGCCTGTTCGCGCCGCCCTCGCGGCCCTTTCGTGCCGCCCTCGCGGCCTCTTCAAGCCGCCCTCGCGACCCCCCCCCCCCGCGCCGCATCTGCTAGCCCCGGCGCCTACCCTGCAGCCCCGGCGCCTACCCTGCGGCCCCGTCGCCTACCCCTGCGGACCCGGCGCCGCCCTTCCCAGCCCCGGCGCCGCCCTTCCTAGCCCCGGCGCCGCCCGCCCCGGCCCCGGCACGGCCCTTCCTCGACCCTGCCCCGGCCCCGCCCCGGCCAGCGGCGGCGCACCGGGGGCACGTGCACCGCCCCCCCCCCCCCCCTTTTCCCGTCGCCCGTCGCGGCTCCTTTGGGGGCCGCGGCCTGGGGGGGGTGGGCGAGCGTCGCCCCTTCTGCCGCCTGCTTTGGCGCCCTGGGAGGCCGCGCGTCCCCCCCTCCCGCCCCGTAACCTCCCTACCCGCCATCCCGCCCTGCCCTGTGTTAGGGTCTGGGGGTGGCGAGTGGGGGGTGGCGGGTGTGTGGTCTCCCCTGCTCCTCCTCCTCCTTCGTCTCCCACTGCTGCAGCTGTCGCTGAGGGGGGTGGATGTGTGGGAGCCTGGGGTTTCGGGTTTATGGGGGGTGCTGTGGGAGTGGAACTAGGGTTTTGAGGGAGGTGGATGTGTGGGCGTCTGGGGTTTAGGGTTTAAGGGGGTGCTGTGGGTGTAGGGCTAGGGCTTGAGCAGGGAGTGTGTGAGAGGGGCGTTGGGCAGCTGGGGGAGGTTGCGTGGAGGCAGCAGTCTTGTCGTCAGCAGCACCAGCAGTCCGGAGGCTACAATCTCCGGTAGTCGCCAGTCGCCTGTGGGTCAGTTGCTCGTCTGGCGCTACTTTTAGCCGCGGAGCCAGTTACTCCTGTAGTCCGGGCCTTTGCTTCGGTAGCCACTGAGCCAGCAGCTCGTCTGTGTGTCTGCAGCGTCAGCAGTCGCCTCCCATCTTCTCTCCCCCACAGTCTCTCCTCCTCCTCACGTGCCCTCTGTGATTAGCTCTAGCCTTACTTACCTATTGTGAACTCTTGCTCTATGCCTGCTTGCTCATTGTGCTGATTACACCCCACTTTGGCTATGGGGGTGTGTCAGAATGTTATTCTCTAGCCTGTAGTGGGGTGCTCTATAGCGAGTACTGTCAAACATTATATATGTTATGCTTGTGTAGGCTACAGTGGGTTAGCCTATAGGGGGTACACAATTCTAGGGTTTATTACTTGTACTCATTTCACTTCTAGTTCACACATTCCTGTTTGCTTATTCTCACAAGTACAACCCATCTAGGGTTTGCTATATGTATCCTCATTGCTGCTAGTGAAACCCCCTCTTTTCTCATTTCCATTTTCACAGGTGATGCCTTCTGGGCTGACCAACACACCAGCGACTTTTCGGATGACCATGAACGAGGAGTTTAGGCCTTTTTTTAATAATTGTGTGATCGTTTACCTAGACGAGATCCTGATCTACAGTTGCAACAAGCAGCGGCATTTACCGTATAGTGTCGGCTATAAGACCCGCCAGTATGAAGGTCCCCCGGGACTCTTGGATGGGTAGTTGGACTCTTATTGTGGCAGGTCTTTTTGAGGACCCCACCTTTGCCCATAATCATCATAAGACCCCCCCACCAGGGTTGACGATACCAGGGTAATTACCCTGATTTCAGGGTGATTTCAGACTTTCCACTTTGCGGAGACTAAGATTTCAGAATTACTGAGTTCTCAACCCTGTTCAAATCAGAGTAGTAGTTTTCCTATCCCTGATTTTGAGTATAGTGTAACAAACTAGCCTGTTAGAGGACCCTGACTTAATAGGGTATCGAATCTGTGGTCCCTGATTTTGACCTTATCGAGAGGAAGGTTCTTGGAAATTTCCTTTCGATATCCCCCTTCAGTTTGATCGCAGTACAGCCAGCGCGTGAGCGATGGACAGCAGCATGTCTGACAGGCGAGTACACTCGATGTTTGTTATTTTCACGAGATGCAAATAAGTTGTTCCACAACCTATTTTGCGTTTTGCACAGCGATGTTGGCCACATTTAGGTATCGAATCGAAATGTTTGGTTGAGCGAAATCGCTCATCTCTTCCCCCCACTACAACGTGTGCATAAATACCGTTTCGTAACACTTAAAGGGTGGAACTTAGCGCGCTCAAAGTGTGCGCGAAACACAGAGCGCAAACTTTACGCAGAGGGAAACTTTTTCCCCTGTAACAAAGGGCGCGTTACTACTCTGATCCTCGATTTTCAACCCTGAAAAATCAGAGTTATATACTTTTCAACCCTGAGCAATCAGAGTAGCATTATTCTGAAAAATGTGCACTCATAATAGAGGGGAAAATTTTTCCCCGGAATCAGGGAGGCCTAATATGAAACGTCAGCCCTGCCCCCCACCCTTCCCTTAAGTGCCCTTTCCAATCTGGTGAAGTTAACTACTAAACCTACACACACATCTCTTCACTTCCTCGTCACTAGATCTAGGCATTACATGGTCAAGGTGGCTACGGTACCAGCACTCTACGTTACTGGCCCAAACATCTCTACCACCCCCCTACTCCTCACTCTTTGTCCGCGTCCTCCTCCAGCCCACCCTCTTCCTCCTCCTCCTCGTCTTCCTCCTCCTACCACCCCCGTACTCCTCACTTTTTGTCCGCGTCCTCCTCCAACCCACCCTCTTCCTCCTCCTCCTCGTCCTCCTCCGCCACCTCCTTCTCCTCCTCCTCCTCCTCCTCCTCCTCCTCCTCCTCCTCCTCCTCCTCCTCCTCCTCCTCCTCCTCATCCTCCTCCTCCTTCTCCTCCTCCTCCTCCTCCTCCTCCTCCTCCTCCTCCTCCTCCTCCTCCTCCTCCTTTGCATCTATCTGGCCCTTTGCCTATGCATGGACGACGACTCCTGCACAAGAAACGACGCTTGTGATTAAAAATCTGCCACAAGTATTAACAAAACAGAAGCATGAACCGATTGCAACTCACCTGCAGGGACCCGACTTTTCGGGATAGTTTTGCGCTTGAAGATCACCATGACAGGGAGCTTGCGGCCGTCCGCGGTGATGCGGAGCATCATTGTCACCCTCTCCTTCCCATAGCACGCGCTCCTGACGTGCACAGTCTTCTTGCCGCGGTGATGAAGGGTGCGCTCGTTCGGCATCTCCAAGAACATCGGCGATTGGTCGGCGTTTGTATTCCAGGGATCTATGCCATGCTTTATTATGTTCTTCGGTGTGAACGCCCAAAACTCCAAGCACTTCGACTTGCACTCTGCCACGAACGTTTACATCAAGATAGTTGGACATTAGTTATGGCAGTGTGTTGGACATTAATGTCACATGGCGTGGACCAAAGTATGGAAGCACACTGAGGTCGCGAACTACACGAATAACTCACCTTTAGCAAGACGCTTGCCCATCTTCGCGCGCACGGAAGCGGTAGGTCCACCTGTTGGACGCCATCCACCTCACGCCCGGGTAATGGGCCTTCATATAGCACCTACTCCAATGCTTGATGAGCCGGATAGGGACGGCCAAGCCACGGCCGCGGAAGTTCAGCAGCCTCATGTATGCATGCGCCTCCATGTCAGGGTACTTCACCTTCCTCCCACCCCCACTGAGGCGGCGCCTGGGTGGTGCCGCTTTCTTTCTCCGTTCTGCCACCCTGATCCACCGGCGGGCGCTGACTGGCTGCACCCCGGTGTGGCGGACAGAGAGTTTCTCCATGTCCATCTGCGCGAGCCAGTCCTGTTTCTCTCCCATCATTTGCGCCTTGCGGCTGTGTATATTCTTGTGTGCGCGGGAACTTGATGACGCACTGTCGGCCCTGGATCGCGACCCGTTCTCGTCGTGGATGAGATCCTCAGGAAACATCGGTACCGGGAAAGCCCAGACGTCGTCGTCCATCTCCTCATTCATAGCGTTCTCCTCATCCTTGGCGGCGGGATCGGGAAACCCCTCGTCCTCGACGGGTTCTAACGTTGGGTTGGTGCGCCAGTCGACAAAGGCCGGGGAAGCATAGGGGGGGGGGTGGAGGCACAGGAGGAACCGGGGGGGGCGGAGGTGTCTTCGGTGCAGGTGGAGCTGGCGGGGCCGGGCTTGTGATGAGCACGATAGCTTGCTGGCCAGACGAACTGCCTAAGCTTGAACGGCACGAACGCCATGGGCTTTCGAAAACCGGCATTGCTAATAGATGCTACTGTTCTAATGGTTATTGCTTGCTTGAGTGGCAGTCGCCATAGCGTGCTATGTAGATGTGAAGGAAGCTGGAGTGGCAGATCAGGATGTGAGACAGGGAAAAGAGAGAAATGAAGCTTGCGGCCTCCCGTGCTCGGCAGACTATGAGACGTGAAACCCTAGTGCACCACGTCCAATGCCTCTACTGCCACTGAGACAAGATGGGGTGCTTATGGGCCCCATGACGTGGCCATCTTGATGGCTGGTTCCATCAAGATGATGTGCGGTGCGTGAATAGGGGCGTTCAATCCGCCCTCGTGCATTGAAGTACGCCACGCGTTGTTCGCGACGTCACACACGTGGTGCTCCAAGTGAGCGATTTTGACGAGAAGTGTGAGTTATTTCATGACCGGTTAGAATTTCTGGGGCACGTCATTTTGGAGGCTGAGGTTGAGATTGACCCGAAGATGTTAGACACGGTCATAGCGTGGCGTCCCGCGACCAACATCACGGAAATGCAAAGCTTTCTAGGGTTCGTAATTACGTCCGTTGGATTGTCTCCGACATGGCGCCCTTAACAGCCCCACTGACAGATTTACTGCGGAAGGGAGTGGCGTTTCCAAGGGGGGAGAAAGAGCATGCTGCCTTATCTGCCCTGGAAACTGTTTCTATATTCACCGCCCGTTCTGCACATCGCCGACCCCCACCGCCCATTCGAAGTAGTTACATACCCCAGCGACATCGCCATCGGAGCCATACTGCTACAAGATTTCGGCAATGGCCAACAGCCCATCGCATACGAGTTTTGGAAACTGCATCCGTCCGAGAAAAATTACCTGATACATGACCGCGAAACGCTTGCGATCGTGCATGCATTCAAATGTTGGCGCTGTTACTTGACTGGCGCCGACGTGACAGTACGGACAGATAATAAATCACTACAGTACCTTCGCGCACAGCCCCACCTCAACCCACGACAGGTCCGCTGGCTCGATTTCATCGATTCAAATTTCCACTACACAGTCACCTACAAAAAGGGGGCATCAAACATAGCTGACGCACTGACCCGCCTCACTGGCCAGATACACACCAAACTACTCGCCCAAACCAGCCCACTGCTCACATGACTATTTACCCACAAACCAAGCAAACTTGTTCTTCACTGGAGGAAATTTGCAGTAGCAAAGGGGGTGTATTACGTAAAAGCTGGCACCGATAGGATCTGGGTACCGGGCTACACTTTACTACGGGAATTTCTAGTACAGGAGGCACGTGACGGAGTTACCACATGACATTTCGGAGTAAAAAAAACACGGCAGCAGCTGCAGCGATATTATTACTGGTCCGAGATGCTGACCGACGTTCAACGACACGTAGCATCGTGTCCCACCTGCCAGATCATGAAGTCGTCACGCAACAACCAGCAGGAGAGTTGCAGCCGATACCACCCCTAGAGCGTGCTTGGCAGCAGGTGATGATGGACTTCGTCACGGGGTTACCGGCCGGAGAAAGTGGGAATGACGCTATCCTGGTCGCCGTCGATCCGCTAACCAAGACGGCATATTTTGGTGCCTGCAAGAAATCAATAACGGCCAAAGAAACTGCCTGACTCTTCATCTCTACCGTCATTTGACTACACGGGATACCAGCGGAAATTATTAGCGATCGTGACACAAAGTTCACCAGCAACTCCTGGAGGAACCTGTGGCAGCAGTTCGGTACGCAACTACAGTTCAGCTCATCGTACCACCCCGAAACAGGCGGACAAACAGAACGGACAAACCAGACCATGGAACAGTTGATCTGAGCCACGTGCGACGATCCGGCAACATGGGAGCAGCAACTGCCTCTCATCAAATTCACATACAACAACTCCACATCGGCCAAGACGTAGCAGTCACCATTCTACCTCAACTACGGACAGAACCCCACTGTGCCCATGCCTCCGAATCCCGACAACCCAGCACCACGTGCGCAACTGTTTGCGGAAATCCTACAAGCAGCATGGACCCGGGCACAATTAAGAAATCGAACATCATCGCTAAACGCACCGCCGATCGCCACCGCCGCCCCGTCACATACCAACCCGACGACCTCGTACTCCTCGACACCCAAAACCTCCGCCTGCCCATTACTCCAAAACTCCGCCCTCGATATTGTGGGCCATTCCGCATTAGCCACATGATCGTTCTTGTCACTGCCCACCTCCTCCTCCCTGCTGACTGGTACGTCAGCCCGTCGTTCCACGTCAGCTTACTCCGCCCATACATCCGATCCGCCCGTCGTTACATCCGCCTCGCAACCGCCCAGCCAGCATGAAACAACCGCCAATAGAGCCAATTGTCGGAATATGATATTGTGTAGGCTGTAGTGGGGTATGCTGTAGTGAGTACAACTCTGTTAGGGTTTTCTACTTGTATCCCACTTGCCTGTTAGTCAAACTCTCTTTTGCCTATTCTCCTTGCTAAACCCTAGCTATGGCTCCTGCGTTCTAGCTTCTATTTCAACATGCTATCAGAGCGGTTACGCTCCTGGCCTGTGGGCCCGCCTACTTCCGCTGCCATACTGTCTGTCGCGCGCCCCGTGGCGCGCGCCGTTCTTTTTTCTTCCGGCCACGCGCTCGGGGCGCGTGGCGGTTTTTTGCCCACCACGCGCTCGGGGCGCGTGGCGGTTTCCTGCCCGCCGCGCGCCCCGGGCGCGCGCGGCGGTTTCGTCGCTCGTCGCGGCGCCCCGGGGGCCCGCGCGCTGTCCCCTCCCGTCGCCCGTCGCGGCGTCCCAGGGGCCCGCGCGTCGCCCCCCTCTTCCGTCGCCCATCGCGGCGCCCCGGGTGCCCGCGCGCTGCCCTACCCATCGCCGGTCGCAGTGCCCTGGGGGCCCGCACGTCGCCCCCCCCTCCCGTCGCCCGTCGCGGCGCCCTGGGGGCCCGTGCGCCGCCCTGCCCGTCGCCCGTCGCAGCGCCCCAGGGATCCACGCGCCGCCCCACTTCTACTCACACGCCGCCCCAGCTGCTGCCCGCGTTTCTGCCCGCGTCGTGCGCGCGCCACCTGCGTTGGGGTGTGGGGTGGCAGGTATGGGGATGGCGGGTGTGTGAGCCGTCCCCTGCTCCTCCTCCTCCTCCGTCTCCCACTACTGCAGCTGCCGCTGAGGGGGGTGGATGTGTGGGAGCCGTCGGAGTGGTACTAGGGGGGTGGCGTGTGAGCAGTGCTAGGGGTGCAGCAGGGGGTGTGTGAATGGGGTGTGGGACAGTTGGGGGAGGTGGGGCAGAGGCAGACGTCGTGTCGTCAGCAGTGCCAGTAGTAGCCCAGGGCCCTTGCTCCGGTAGCAGTAATTTCACCGTGACCGGGGTCAACATCCGAATGATGCGGAAGGGTCCCACGTAGCGGGGACGCAGCTTTGCGGGTTGGGGCAGGCGAAGATTCTTCGTATCCAAGAGGACCATCTACCCGTCGCGGAAGGGTAAATTCTGTCGATGCCTTTCGGTGTAGCGGCTGGCAACATAATTAGCCTTCCGGATAAACTCTGCTGCTTTGTCGCGCGTTGCTTGAAGTTCCGAGACGAACTGCTGCGACCGTAGTACCGGGTTGTCGGGGGTCGTGGAAGAGGGTACCATGGGATCTATCCCGTAATTGAGGTAGAACGGCGACTGATTGGTGGTCGTAGACGGGGCGTTGTATGCAAATTCCAACATGGGGAGTGAATCTTCCCACTTGATGATGTCGGGACAGTTCGTGCGAATCAACTACTCCATAGCTGATTTGTCCTCTCTGTCTGTCCGTCGGTTTGCGGGTCGTATGATGACGAAAACTGCAAGCAAGTGCCATACTGTGCCCACGTTTCCTGCCAGAACTTCGACGTAAATTCCGGGCCTCGATCGCTGATGATTGCCGAAGGTAACCCGTGTAGGCGTACGACGGTTGGGATGAAGAGCTTCGTTGTTTCTTCGGATGTGATCGTTGTGCGGCATGGTGCAAAATGCGCCATCTTCGTTAATTGGTCAACGACGACCAGCACCGAGTCGTTGCCACTTGCGCCAGCTGGCGGTCCGGTGACGAAGTCCATCGACACATGTTGCCACGGTCCTTCGTATGGCTTGAGGGGCTGCAGCAATCCAGCTGGTTGTTGGAGTGATGATTTCATCGTTTGGCAGGTCGAGCAGGCGGACACGTAGTGTTGCACGTCCGACGCCATGTCGGGCCAGTAATAATTCTGCTACAGCAACTTCAATGCTTTGTCGAAGCCAAAATGCCCGGAGAGGCTGGAGTCATGAACCTCCTCCATCAGCAATTCTTGTAAGGGTCAGTAGGAAGGTACCCATACTCGGTTAGTACCGACTTTTAGGTAATATCTCCCATGTGCCGTGGTGACCCGTTGGTGTTGATTCGTTCTGAAGAAACGATCGGACCTGTAGCCGTGCTTGAATAATTCTGCCAGTAAATGGTTAGAATGGGCGATTAGTACTACTGTGGTCGGCATCGATGGGCGGGTCAGGGTGTCGACGATGTTGTTGGCACCCTTTTTTTACGTGATGGTATAGCTGAAGTTTAACTCGAGGTAATCGAGCCACTTGATTTGTGGCGGGTTGAGATGTGGTTGGCTGCGCGGTACTGTAATGACTTGTGGTCAGTCCTGGTCGTGACGTCCCGTGAGATAACAGCGTTAGGTACAAAATGCATGCACGATGGCGAGCATTTCTTTGTCGTTTACAGGGTAGTTGCGCTCGGGCAGCTGCATTTTCTGTGACTTGTACGCGATAGGTTGCAGCACGTTGCCGAAATCCTGTAGAAGGACGGCGCCGACAGCGAAATCGTTGGCGTCCGTCATGACTTCGAACGGTCGAGATGGGTCTGCCAGCCGAAGCACTGGGGGTGAGCTCACAATTTTCTTCAGCTCGTCGAAGGCTAGCTGTTCTCTCTCCCCCCAAGAAAAGTGTACGCCCTTGTGCATAATATCGGTTAACGGCCTAGCTACCCCCGTCATATTTTGTACA